CATTTTTCAAGAAAGAAAAGCCATTATAAGAAATAGAAGAATACTATGAATGAGAAAGATATTGAGAAGAGAGATAGAGAAACCAAAAGATTTAATTTGAAAGATGAAACTTATTTTAAATATTAGAAAACTTATAAGATAGATATGATCAAATGATAAAGAAATAAAATATAAACTTTCAGATTGTCTCACCTGTATGTTATTAGAGGATGAAAGGGAATAAACTCTGCTGGTCCAAATTCTATAGAGCAACCAGAAGTTACCAAGGTAAGCAATTCACCCATACAAGTCAATAAGATCAAGGAGCCACGTTTTAACATGCAAGCCAGAAAAAGGCTATCAGGAGTCCAGCTCATGTCACCGACCCAATATGACCTAACAAAAACAAAATCAAATAATAGCTTTTCATGTCTACTTTTCTATCAAATCAAGGTATTAACGATTTTGCTTCTTAGAATAACTTATGGGCAAAAAAAAATTTAAGTTCTAATCTTCAGATACTGACCTGACAAATTTGGATGAAACCACATAATTCTTGCTGCTACAACCTTTAAGGTTACCAGAAACAGTAACAAAATTCAGTGTATTTATAAACAAAATCTGAGTTGCCTGCGAAGTACAAAAAAACAATTAACAATTGACCATAATAAAGCCTTTTAGTACCAAGTTATGCTTCAGATGTGTGGTACTGAAAACATTACTGAATGCAGAAATATCATGGCCATAAAGTTTAAAGTCATAATTATTAATACTCTTAAGTCTACCTTTGATACTTAAATCAACGTGTGATTGGTAATGCATTCATATGGGCATATAATATTATCAACATTCATTAAAGAGGTTAATCACAGGCAGAGCTGGTAGTGCAGACTATACTTAGTTTCACCACTTTTCTATTATAAGATCTCATCTTCAGTTGCTTGTAAATGTGGGAAACTTGAATCATTTGGTCTGAAACCATCAGGTGTCTGCCTCAAACTGAATTATTTTGGAAAATTTCAGATGTAACAGTACAGCCACATCCCAGGAAAAGATTGGGGAATCCATTGCCCACAATAAAAAAATAATTCTCACATTCAAAAGCTCTAGCATCTCTAATCTTTTGAGGAAAACTTTCAAATTTGGCAGAAGCTTGCCAGCTTTGCTAGTACACAAAAGGATGTGTTTTTTGCTATTCCCATGGAAAAGTACTTAAATCTGGCCAAATTAGAAGTCTTTAAAAAAATCTCAGTTTCTTTTCAGCATTGACTTGTTGAGTGTCTGGCAACTAAGTTCTCCAAAGATTCGATCTGAATTGAGCATGTTCCATCCCACAGCTATTGGGGCTGAGCTGAATAGCTATAGGGGCTGAGCTACACTTCCTTCTAAATTAAAAACAACAACAGTACTGTAGCACTTTAGAGACTACCCAAAAATATGTAGATAGTATCACACTGCTCTACTCTGCGCTGCTTAGGCCTCAGTTGGAGTATTGTGTGCAGTTCTGGGCACCACATTTCAAGAAAGATGTAGAGAATTGGAGAGGGTCCAGAGAAGAGCAACAAGAATGAATAAGCGGCGAGGAGTCCTGTGGCACCTTATAGACTAACTGAAGTGTAGGAGCATAAGCTTTTGTGGGCAAAGACCCACTTCGTCAGATGCATGTAGTGGAAATTTCCAGAGGCAGGTATAAATATGCAGGCCAGGATGAGGCTGGAGATGATGAGGTGGATCCAATCAAGGAGGATGAGGCCAACTTCTAGCAGCTGATCTGGAGGTGTGAATTCCAAGAGAGCAGAAGCTGCTTTTGTAGTTAGCGAGCCATTCGCAATCTTTGTTTAATCCAGAGTTGATTGTGTCAAACTTGAAGATGAACTGTAGCTCAGCAGTTCTGGAATTCACACCTCTCTCTTGGAATTCACACCTCCAGATCAGCTGCTAGAAGTTGGCCTCATCCTCCTTGATTGGATCCACCTCATCATCTCCAGCCTCATCCTGGCCTGCATATTTATACCTGCCTCTGGAAATTTCCACTACATGCATCTGACGAAGTGGGTCTTTGCCCACAAAAGCTTATGCTCCTACACTTCAGTTAGTCTATAAGGTGCCACAGGACTCCTCGCCGCTTTTGCAGATTCAGACTAACACAGCTACCCCTCTGATACTGATTGTAGATGATCATGTCAACTTCGTGTTTCAGTAGGCTGGTATAAGTTTACACCATGTGTGAGACCCCAGGTTCCCTCTCCCCATTCCTGTCCCTTATATGGGAGACCCCCCCAATCATGTTACAGGATATGGGGGGTGGTTCTCTCAATGGAGCAGGGTTAAGGAAGGTTTAGGTTGGACTTTTTCCTAAAGTCCCTGTCAGGGTGGTTAAACACTGGAATAAATTACCTAGGGAGGTTGTGGAATCTCCATCTGTGGAGATATTTAAGAGTAGGCTAGATAAATGTCTATCAGGGATGGTCTAGACCAGGCATGTCCAAAGTCTGGCCCGCGGGCCAATTGCGGCCCGTGTTTCGGTTTAATACGGCCCCGCAGGTAATTTGGCAATATCTATCTTTTATGGCCCCCAACGAATCCATATGTATTGAGATGAATACATTGTAAAATCTCAGTTAATGTCAGTTGGTCTAAATCAGTTATAAATATATTTGGACACAACATGTATACTTGGTGTTATGTTCCTGTTCATATTTTTTGAACTTAAAAGTTGACAGACAACCTTTATTACCAATAATATGTAATGTACTTTTCAATGTTCCTGACATATATTTCAGCTTCCTGGATTTTTTTTTCATCTGGCCTTCAGATATGAAAGGCAGAGTGATTTAATACCTGTTTAGATTTGTCATCCATGTGACGAAATGAAAAGTATGACATTTGCAATAAACTTTGCATAAAATAGTTAATTTGCATTTTATTTTAATAGTTCAAATAATGTCAGACAAAATGGTCGGCCCTCACGCATGTTCACTTCATAAAATCTGGCCCTCTTTGAAAAAATTTGGACACCCCTGGTCTAGACAGTACTAGACTGGTCCTGCCATGAGGGCAGGGGACTGGACTCGATGACCTCTTGAGGTCCCTTCCAGTCCTAATATTCTATGAGCTTTTGTGGGCACAACCCACTTAAAGCTCATGATACTATCTCTATGTATTTTTGCTTAGTCTCTAAAGGTGCTAAAGGGCCATTGTTGTTTTTTAAGTTTTTTTTCCTTCTAACTGCTGTTCACAGATGGTGCAGTTCCTCTGATCACAGGCACCAAAACTAAGGGCAAAGAGTCATGTCACTCCCTATTGTGTCCACATGGATAAGAATAGGAAGAAGCCTGACCTGATTAGAGAGGGAACAACAGTCCTACCTGGAATGAGATCATGACTTATGCTAATGCAGCAATATGAAAATACAGAAAAGATGCCCCTGTCCATGAGTGCTCTCTCGATCTTGTTTATGAGGAGCGATTTGAGCACTGTAGTGTTGTTGCATGGTGCACTTCAGCTATGTCACTTGAGCTGGTCAAGATTAACTATGGCCCAATGCACTGAAAGCTGGAGAGGTCATGTGAAATTAGCACTGAGAAGTGTCCTTTATCCACTGGCATGAGAAGTTACTGAACTGTAACTGGTGGCTCACCAAGTTATATGGTACCCACCTATATTCCACTATAGGAGGTCATGCATAAACACCACTTGCCCGGAGCTGAATAATGTAAAAACAGTATCTCTGAAACAACCCTGACACACAGAGGCAGGGCCTTCCTCTGAGACAGAAAGTGGTACAGCCACAACTAACCCCTGGGTGGGGGGGGCAGTCACAGAGTACACAGTTTGCTGAATTAATTCCTCTGGCTGGAGAGCGCAAGGGCAGACAAACATGAACTTGCCCAGCTGGGGGACATGCACACCTAACCTGACTGTACCATGGAGACACATTTCTCACCTGACCCCAAGCTACTGATGTGAGAGAGAGCCTCAGTGTAGACTGCATATTGAATCCCTAATCTCCAAACTCACCCCAGAGCAATGATTTAAATGAAGAAAAACAAAAATTAATTGAATTAAGGACCCAAGCAGTGCCAGGTAAATCTTCTAGAAAACCTAAAAACCACTAAAATATAAATTATTAAAAATTGTATAACAGTTAAAGCTATTAACAAAACTAATTCTTATTTTGTAGGATAAGCCTGAAGCTATGGACACTGGAGGTTCTAAAAAGGAGTATGTAGGAGTAAAAAGGGAAATGGAGAGGTGCCTCACTTTTTATCTCCTCAAATGAAAAGGCTATTTGCCAGGGGATAAAATGGTGTCCTTGGCCTCTGTCTGTCAGAGGCTGGAGAGGGATGGCAGGAGACAAATCACTTGATCATTGTCTTCGGTCCACCCTCTCTGGGGCACCTGGTGCTGGCCACTGTCGGTAGACCTTTGGTCTGACCCAGTACGGCCATTCTTATGTTCTTATGGATGCATGAGGTGAGCCAAGTCACATGCACAAGCCAAGAGATACTTTTCAAATTCATCAGCTGCAGGTGTATGATGCAATACATAACCTCCCACAGTAGAATACAATAGACACTATTACTCAAAGAATCTTTCATGCCAGGACTATCTTCAGACTGTAGCTTATGAAACATTCAGATACTGTCAGATGCAACATATTGCTTGAGCTTAGCTGTCACTGACTTTGCCTAGTAATGAGAGGTCAGATATGGTGTGTTAGTTGGAGAGAATTTCTATATCAAGTTTTGGCGTTTTATGAATTAAGCAGATGGATCCATTTTCTGGAGAGCCATACTTTTCTGAAGGAGAACTTCCTAGCTATGAATTGGTTATGAATTAAGAGCAAGCCTGAGAGGTAATTCTAAAACACTTTTTAATTAGGACACTTACCAAACTGTATGTTTGCAACATTAGCTGTAATGATCTACTGTGTACCAATCATACCTTTGGATCATTTTGATTAATGGCTACTGCCAGTAAAAGTCCATCCCTTGAAAATGTAGAAAGCAAAGCTCCTCTTGACTTTACTGACACACATACTGGAACCAGAGTAGACAGGTAACATGCTTGTTGGGCCCAGAGGATATGGTACGGTAAAGAACTGTAAAAAAAAAAAAATTATGAAAGAATATTACATGGAAAAACTCTCTCTCTCACACACTCACTCTCACTCTCACACTCTCACACTCTTCTACCACCACCACCCCCAGGTGCCCTTTAGGAGGGGGGCAAGGGAAAGTGCATAGTCTGCTGAATTCCTCACTCTGACTGGGAGTGCAGAGAGCAGACAAGCTGTGTCCTTTGCTCTCCCCCTCCCCCCAAGACACAGACAGAAGGGGAAGAACAAGGAGCCTTGGTACAAATTTTTCTTATTTTAAAAAAAATGTATCGAGTTAAGGACCCGAACAACACTGAATAAATGTGCTCATGGTGCATAAACAATCTAGGGAAATACAAATTAGATGGAGCTACTATAAAAGGTAGCTTCCCTCTTAGAAAGGATCAATCAATTTCATGCATATGAAAAGGAAAATTACTTCCCAGGAAGGAGTACTGCAGAAAAAGACATGAGGATCATAGTGGATAACTAGCTAAACAGGAGTTGTGATGGGGTGCGATCACAGAAGACCCCTTTTGGGGTGCTTCCCAGAGTGCTGACAAAGCCACTGACATTCACCTTCTTGCTCTCTGGGGTTTCTTACCACCATGACCTGCTGGGCCAGTTCCTCTGGTCTCTCCCAGCCAAGGCACAGAGCTGAGATCACACCCCGCCCTCCTGCCTCGAGGAGCAAGACAGATGCTGAGATGCTTCAGGTCAGAGGAAAATACAATTTTGGGCCCACCTTCAAGGAAACCACTCCTCAAATGGTATCAGAACCCCAAATGAATTATTTAGGTAAGCCCCCTTTAACAATAAAAGGAGGATGTACATGCTGATTACTCCCCCAGGTAACAATAATTTAACTAGGCTTAATAATAAAATCACTTTTATTAAGTAAAAGCAATACGATTTAAGTGGTTATAAGTGAAAAAAGGCAGAGCAAAGTAGATTACAAATTTAAAATAACAAAAAATGCTTAGCTAATTCTAACATATGCTCAAACTTATTAAAACTCACCCTAAAATTGCTATTTTTTTCCAGCTAAACCTCCAAACCAGGGAAGTCTCCTTTTCCCTGGGGTCTTTAGTTTTTCCTCTTGGGTGTGTCACACCAACCAAACACCAAGAAACTGCTAGCTTCCAATCGTTTCGTAGATTCCACTTTGGGTGGGAATCAGTGTCTCCCCAAAGGTGCACGTCAACATGGGCGCGCACCAAAAATTTGCCTAATGCCCACCTTCAGCAGAGCTGTGCAGTAGCTGCTTAGCTACTCTGGGAGCAGCAGGGTAGCCAACACATGGCCTAGGGCTGAAGCTGTGGGCTGTATAGCAGTGGCGGCTGCTCAAGTGGCCCCAACTAGGGCCAAGGCCAGAGCCAGAGCCGTTTATCGGGCAGCTGGAGCCACGTGTCAGGTGGCAGTGGTGTCAGGTGGCAGGGTCAGAGCTGGAGCCACGTGTCAGGTGGCAGTGTGTGGGGTGACAGCAGCCATGTGTCAGCAGCTCTGGCACCCCTACTGGAGCCAGAGTCACATGTTGGGCAGCAGCGGCAGGCTCAACTGCCGGAGCCCCGGGGCGGGCAGCAGCTGCAGCTGTGTGTTGTCTGCTGTGGCAGAACTGTGTCGGGCAGGCACCCATCAGCAAGCTCCAAGTCCAGGCAAGGTGCTCCTCTAGCTGCAGTGGGGCAGGCAGCCCATGGGCTGAGAGAGCTGGTCTTTGTCCGCTATGCTAGATCTCGTAGGGAACTTCCCTCCATGACCCTGAGGGAGCAGCCCAGCAGCAGCACAAGGCAAGCGGGGCTGCAAGGCTCTCATAGACCTGCACAGCCAGCAGAGGGCTGTGACTATGGGCAGAGGGAGGCGGCCATGTAATGGTCTTCCAGGCAGGCAGGGCGAGCGGCCAGGCAGACAGAGAGAGATGGAGGAGTTCAAATCAGCCACCGAGAGCAGGAAAAGATCAGAAAGGGGTGTGGAATGCAGACCTTAAATGGAAAGTGAGCTGATCCTCTAAGGACACAACTGTGTATGGAAAGTGTGCAGGGGGGAAGGGGTAGAGGGGAGACAGCGGAGGCTTCTGCTGATGCGCCAACATTTTGATCAGGATGGTTTGGGAGCTGCTTTGCAAGGAGGAGAAATATGGTCAGGGCCTATCCTAAGGGAAGAGGGTGGGCATTTAGCTAATGTTGCTGCAGCAGCCCCACAAGGCTGACAGGTCATCATGTCAAGGACTCTGGACCACATTTTTTCCCCCAAGTGTCTCTAGTGGGAAGGGGGGGGGGGGAGGTTGGTAAACTTTTGTGAGACTCAGTAAGAATGAAAAATTTCCTGTTTTGTTTTCTTTTCTTTCTAGCATGAATAAGATTTATTTTTCAGACTAAAGAAACTTAGATGCCAGGATTAAATCACAATAGCAGCAGAAATGCAGAACTGCAGGGTTAATCAATAAGCAGATATCAATAAGCAGATTGTGGAACAAATATAGTACATTGGCACTTTAGGGTCAGCCATAATAATAAGGATGTGTTTGTAAAAGTTCTGATTTAACAACTCTTTTTATTCTTTGTGCCTGGGAAAGGTCTGTTTTCGTATTCTTTCTTCCATTATATATACAAATAAAATGTCAGTAACTGGTCGGTGCAATGGTAGCACACATCCAAACAAGTGCACATGAACTCAATATTGGTGCACAAAACAAAACTCACTCCGCTCATGGATGGAAAATCTTAGAAAACAGAAAATTCTGTTTCTACATTCCACCCATACATGGAATTACTTGGTCAGTCGTTACCAGTTGAGGTAGTCATGTGACTTCCTAAGACCAACCACTACCTAAGACCAAGCAACTAGCGTTGAGTCACTACCTGATAAGCACGCGTGTGGGCAATCATGGACAATTACGCAAAACTAACTAACAGAGAGAGGCAGCAAGGGGAGGGGGAGGGGGAGGAGCAAGAGCCCATGCTTGGGGGAGCCAACTTAAAAGCCAGTTCCCCCCAGCTCCATGTGAGTGGACAGGGGCACCATTCCACCTTCGAAATGTATAAGAGTCCCCACTGGGCTACTTGTACATTTCAAAGCGTAAGAGCGAGGAGGGGGAAGGGCACGCGTTGGGAAGAAAGTGTTACTCCCCCTGTGCAGTAACTTCTGTACTTCGAGATGTGTGTCCCCGTGGGTGCTCCACTATAGGTATCAGGTTCATCCCGGTACCGCAGTCCGGAGAGTTTTTCCTAGCAGTAGTCCCTGGCAGACTGCGCATGCATAGAAGACTCCACGCGCTGTTCGTGCCTTTTCTGTGTCACGCGGTCCGAAGCGCCTGTTCCTCCTAGCCAGAACATCTGAAAAATATAAGCATAAGAGTTCCAAAGCAGGGAGGAGGGCGGGTCGTGGAGCACCCACGGGGACACACATCTCGAAGAACAGAAGTTACTGCACAGAGGGAGTAATACTTTCTTCCTCTTCGAGTAGTGTCCCCGTGGGTGCTCCACTATAGGTGAGTATGAAGCAGTAGCTCAAGTTGTGCATCGGCGTAGTCATCTGTGCACAGATGACTACGCCGATGCACAACTTGAGCTACTGCTTCATACTCACCTATAGTGGAGCACCCACGGGGACACTACTCGAAGAGGAAGAAAGTATTACTCCCTCTGTGCAGTAACTTCTGTTCTTCGAGATGTGTGCCCCCGTGGGTGCTCCACTATAGGTGAGTATGAAGCAGTAGCTCAAGTTGTGCATCGGCGTAGTCATCTGTGCACAGATGACTACGCCGATGCACAACTTGAGCTACTGCTTCATACTCACCTATAGTGGAGCACCCACGGGGACACTACTCGAAGAGGAAGAAAGTATTACTCCCTCTGTGCAGTAACTTCTGTTCTTCGAGATGTGTGCCCCCGTGGGTGCTCCACTATAGGTGAGTATGAAGCAGTAGCTCAAGTTGTGCATCGGCGTAGTCATCTGTGCACAGATGACTACGCCGATGCACAACTTGAGCTACTGCTTCATACTCACCTATAGTGGAGCACCCACGGGGACACTACTCGAAGAGGAAGAAAGTATTACTCCCTCTGTGCAGTAACTTCTGTTCTTCGAGATGTGTGCCCCCGTGGGTGCTCCACTATAGGTGAGTATGAAGCAGTAGCTCAAGTTGTGCATCGGCGTAGTCATCTGTGCACAGATGACTACGCCGATGCACAACTTGAGCTACTGCTTCATACTCACCTATAGTGGAGCACCCACGGGGACACTACTCGAAGAGGAAGAAAGTATTACTCCCTCTGTGCAGTAACTTCTGTTCTTCGAGATGTGTGCCCCCGTGGGTGCTCCACTATAGGTGAGTATGAAGCAGTAGCTCAAGTTGTGCATCGGCGTAGTCATCTGTGCACAGATGAAAGCACTGCCCGAGCCACCGCAGTATCCACAGCCATGAAGCGATCAAGGGCATAATGTCTCACAAAGGTCGATGTGGAATACCAGGTAGCGGCGCGGCATACATCGCGCAAGGGAACATCCTTGAGGAAAATCATCGAGGTGGCCATGCTCCTGGCCAAATGTGCCTTAGGGTTAGAGGGCAGCGGCTTGTTACGGAGAGCGTAGCAGCATGAGATACAGGTCACACTATGAGATGCAATACGCTGTGAAGACAATTGGTGACCTCTGGAGCGGTTCGCAACTGAAAGCAAGAGGCGTTGTGACTTTCAGAAGGAGCGTGTCCTGTCCAAGTAGAAGGCAAGCGCTCTCGTAACATTAAGGGTGTGTAAACGGGCATGTTCCAGAGCACAATGCGGTTTGGGGTTAAAGGTGGAAAGGGCGATAGGCTCATTAATGTGGAATGACGAATTAACCTTTGACAGGAAGGCGGGATGGCAGCGCAGTGTCACACCTTGTTCGGTAAACAGTGTATACGGAGGGTCAGCCAAGACAGCTGCCAATTTGCCAACATGACGGGCCGACGTGATGGCAAGCAGTAATGTAACCTTCATAGTGATGGTCACCAGGTCGCAAGCTGCTAACGGCTCGAAAGGAGGATGGGTAAGGGTGTCCAGTACGAGGCCCAGGTCCCACGGCTCTGAGACGGACTTGTGTGGAGGGTAGAGATTAGCAATTCCTTTCATGAATCTTTTGATCAGTGGATGCGCGAATACTGAGGAGCCATCCGTTGGAGGACAAAAGGCAGAGATTGCCACCAAGTGAACTTTAAGCGAAGAATTTGACAAACTTTGTGATTTTAAGTAAAGAAGATAATCCAGAATATGATGGATAGGTACTTGCAGCAGACACATGTTCAGTGACTGGCACCAGGCTTGAAAGCGACGCCATTTATAGCGGTAGGACTTTTGAGTAATTTGACGTCTACTGTGCACTAGTATATCCCTGACTGCCTGTGAGCAAGCTAACTCTGGTCCTTGGAGCCAGTTAGGAACCACGCTGTGAGATGCAGGCTGTCGAAGCTCAGGTGAAGGAGAGTGCCATGCTGTTGTGAAAGTAAATTGCGCAATAGCGGTAGTTGCCGAGTTTGGGATATGGACGTTCACATGAGTTGAGGCGGCCAAGTTTGTCGGGGCCAAAAGGGTGCTATCAATATCACCGTTGTAGTGTCCACAAGAATCTTCGCTATCACACGCGATATCAACGGGATGGGTGGGAAGACGAATAGCAGGTGTCATGCTCCCCAATCGAGAAGGAAGACAACTCCCTGCGAGTCACTGCCTATGCCCACCCTTGAACAATAAAGGCGGCATTTTTTGTTGTGTCGAGTCGCAAAAAGGTCCATGTCTGGATAGCCCCAAACCTCGAATAGGTTGAGGACTACTCCGTCGAGCAGCTCCCATTCGTGCTGCAAATGGAAGGTTCTGCTCAATGCATCGGCAATGGTACTGCTCTTGCCCGGAAGGTAAGTGGCCTAAAGTATAATTTGGCGCTGGACTGCCCAATTTCAAAGGCGCATGGACTCTGCACATAGGCATCTGCATCTGGCACCGCCCTGCCGGTTGATATAGTAAACTGTGCAGATGTTGTTGGTAAGAATCTGTACCGCAGTACTGCGCACATCATGAAGGAAATGTCTGCAGGCATTGAAGACTGCCTGTAACTCCAGAAAGTTTATGTGGAGGAGGGATTCGTGGTGACACTATAGTCCCTGAACCTGAAGATGGTCCATATGCGCCCCCCAGCTCAATAAAGACACATCCATGGTGATCTGAAGAGACGAGGTCTGAGCGTGAAAGGGGACGCCTGCTAATGTATTGCTCAGGTCGCGCCACCAAGCTAGGGAGTCCCTAACACAATTGGGGACTACCACACATCTGCAAGTATTGTCGGTACCTGGCATACAGATTATGAGAAGCCAATGCTGAAGGCATCGTATATGAAGTCATGCATGTGGAACTATGTACGTTGCTGCCGCCATGTGCTCCAACAGCTTCAGACATGTGAGTATGGAAACCCTTGGAACCGTGAGCAAGGTATTTGCTAAGTCCCGTATGATGTGGGATCTGTCGAGAGGTAGGTATGCAGTAGCAGCCCTGGAGTCCAGCCTCGCTCCAATGAACTCGAGGGACTGGGACGGAATCAGGGAAGACTTTGGTATGTTGATGATGAGGCCCAGAGCCTCGAACGTGTCTCTGGTGGTATCGACCACAGCTTGTGCCTCACGTGCTGTGGGAGCCTTCAGCAAACAGTAGTTCAGGTAAGGAAAAATCGTGATGCCCGATCGCCAGAGGTGAGCAGTGACAACCGCTAGAGTCTTAGAGAAAACTCTCAGTGCTGCCGACAGTCCAAAGGGGAGCACTGCATATTGATAGTGGCCATTGCCTAAGGTAAAATGCAGGAACCTCTTGTGGGCTGGGGGAACAGTCACGTGGAAATACACGTTTTGGACGTTGAGGGATGCAAACCAGTCCCCTTCGTTCAGTGCTGGAATGATAGAGGCTAGAGTAACCATCTTGAACTTTTGTTTTCTTAGATGACAGTTTAGACCGTGGAGATCAAGGATAGGCGTCCACCTGCCGGACTTCTTTCGCGTGAGGAAGTACCGTGAATAGAAACCTCTGCCTCTGAACTCGTATGGAACTGTTTCCACCGCTCCAATGGTAAGTAGATGTACGACCTCCTGCCATAGCAGGGGCTCATGAGAGGGGTCCCTGAAAAGGGATGGGGAAGGAGTAGCGAGAGGGGGCAGGATGGAAAATGGAATGGTGAGGCCGGAGGTCACGATCTCTCTGACCCATCGGTCGGTAGTTATGGCGTACCAATGGGGACGGTAAGGCCTCAATCGGTGGTGAAACAGCTTGGTTACTTCACCGGGAGCCTCTCGAAGGGGAATAGCGCACGGTCCCTCGACTCACGCATCAAACTTGCTGCAAAGACTGTTGCTGACTCAATGCCTTAGTAGGTTGCTGGCACCGTTTCGGAGGGTGTTGCCTCTGCCTCTGCTGATCATAAGGCCTGAAGCGCGACGTGGCATATGAAAAGGGCCTCTGCCTGTTGTGGGGACCGACTGTCTTATGCCTGAAGGGCGGCGTGTACATCCCAATTGTTCTCAGGGTTTTTCAGGAGTCCTTTCCAGAATGGAATACATGGTCGGTGTTCTGTGCGAATAGGGAACGCCAGTCAAAAGACAGGTCCTCCACTTTAGGCTGGAGATGATAAGAGGCATCGCGAGTGTAGCGATGATGGCTATGACATGAGCGTCCAGGAGAGTATGAGCTCACACTCCTATAATGGTAGTGGTGTGAACGAGCCCGGGAGATCAGTGAATGTGACCGGAACGAACAGAGAGACGGGGATCTGGAATAATAAGAGCTGGGTTAACGGAGAGGTGTAATGGATCGTCTTGGAGACATCCAATAACATCTTGAGGGCGATCAGTGCCTGTCATAATCTCATCTGTCACGGTGCGGTGAGGTCGAAGGCTCAAGCGAAAACATCGCCCTGTCTGGACTGGGCAAAGGTGTACACATACGCCTGGTTTTCCTCTGGGCTTTGGTAGGAACTGTCATAGGCAGTGGAGGACTACTGGGGACTGAGATGACCGGTCCGGACTCAGATTGTTCTTGTCCCAGGGATGGTGATCTAGTCAATGAGGCCGGTGAAGGCAGTGCCGAGCCTACTTCCAATGGTGAGAGCTGCACCGGTTCCACGGACGGTGCCAAATGTAGCTGCAATGCCAAGTCTTGCGCCGGCTTTCTCCGTGCCTCCCTTGGTGCTATATCCGCCCTTGGTGCCATTGGTAAGGCAGGGGTAATGCTTGCTGCCTTTTTCGGCGCCGGCTCTCGTCTTGGTGCCATTCTCGGCTCTGGCTTCAGTCCCGGTACCGCCAGCGATGCCACTTAAGGTAGAGGTGCCACATAAATGCTCAGTGCCGCTGCTAGCGGCAACTCGGGGCACAGTGCCGGGCGGGACACCAGGGCCGACAAAGGTGCCGGGCTAGGCGCTGACGTACTTCGGGTGTAAAGAGGTTTTACCGGGCCGTGCCTTGGAGCGAGTCTGGACTTATACTCGGTGACGGAGTGGAGCTCTTAGTCTGGTGGGCCTTATGGGGCATCGGGGAGCCCGCCCATTGGCCCGCCGCATCAGCTGAAGCGCCTTGTTGAAAAGCAACATTTTCAGGCGCATCTCCCTGTAGCGCCTGGCCCTGGCAGTCAGCTTCGAACAATGGCCGCACTTGTGGGGAACGTGGCCTTCCCCCAAGCAGGGTATGCATCGGGAGTGGCCGTCCGATGCCGGCATAGCTTCGCCACATGAGACACATTTTTTGAAGCCCGGAGAGCCAGGCATGGTGAAGAGGAGACTGAGGGGGGATATGATAGAGCTCTATAAAATCATGAGTGGTGTGGAGAGGGCTGATAAAGAAAAGTTATTTATTAGTTCCCATAATAGAAGAACTAGAGGACACCAAACGAAATTAATGGGTAGCAGGTTTAAAACTAATAAAAGGAAGTTCTTCTTCACACAGCGTGTTGTTAACCTGTGGAACTCCTTGCCAGAGGAGGCTGTGAAGGCTAGGACTATAATAGAGTTTAAAGAGAAGTTGGATAAATTCATGGAGGTTAGGCTAAATAAATTTGGTAAACACTGAACTAATCAAATTAAACACCATTTAATATCCCTACTTCAAAATGCTTTACCAAAAATAAAATCAACTATTCCTTGTAAAACTGTTAGTGAATTTCAAGTAACTTTAAACTCACCTAATGTATCTGAAGCTATTTTCATGCCACCGCAGCGCTAAAAATGTCAGCATCAAGCATTCCCCAGAATAAAACGTGAAAGAGCACAAGCAGCAGTCACCTAGTATCTGTAAAAGAAACAATTTTTTCTTTTTATAAATTTACTTGATTGATCAATGCAATACCCATCATCACAACTAAAAACAAAATTAATAAAATATTTTCTCTGAGATTCAAAAGAGAAGAAAAAACAAAAACAATTTGTCAACCATCCTACAACCTAACTTAAAGTATCCCAGTATCTTACAAGATACAACAATTTGTTTTACTAAAAACTGAATATGAGAAGAATTTCTCTGAATAGGCAATATATTGATTATGTGATCTTGCTAGGCAACATACCTTGTTATATTGTACTAGCATTCAGTTGTTGTATTAATTCAAATCACTCATTTTTTTTGTTTGTGCAATTCAACTAGAAAGCATGACAGACCTCTACAGGGTCCCACATTCCCCCCTCTAAGATTTACTGGTTTGAAAAGAAAATTTCCACAACAGACTTTTGATGCTTTAAAAAGCTATAGTCTTCAGCTGTTAAAAATGCATATTTAAAAGTTGCCTGCACTCAAATCTTCACTTGCTACCAAAAATCAAAACTTTTCATACTTATTAAAAAAGAATTTCTCAGATAAGCAAACTAAAAATGGTGGCTCTGGGTAGCGTGCTAAAATTCCATGAATCCTTATGTACAAGGTTAGAACAAGTCCGCCACAGATACATCGGATGTTACACCGCTATTCTACTAGTTTATTTGAAAAATAATGAAGTTAAAAACATAGAAAATTACTCAAATACCCTTACGCATGAGATGAATAGAACACGTATGCAAGCACTTTGGCAGGACTGGTTTTATTACTACTTCACAGTCAATCCCACAGATTGCATTTATACAGACAAAAATGAATTGGTTGCGAAAAAATACATATATGATGCATGAGCTGAGAGAGAACAGTTAAGACACTGTTTTTCACCGGCTTTGGAATCTCACTTAGCTTCCCTTAGCCAAAAGGATCAATAATGTACAGCCTCAAACCGATGGTTTTAAAACCAGAAAGAAGAGTACTGGAGAAATCTTCAGAGCTTTCTAACACATACATAAATAATCACCTTTCCTAAATCCATTATGAATAAATATATACATACAGGATGGAATTCCAGAAGGAAAGGCCTTCCAAATTTTTGATCTCTCAATCAGATCTGCATTAGAAGCTCCCTGTGCCTCTACAGACTCATATTGAAGTAACAGGGTTATGAGCACTTACAAAAAAACCCACTTATGCTGATCAGCTCGCAGGGCTGAAGCCCAAAACTGGATTCTTGTAACAAAAGCTGAGATAGCAAAAAATTAAAAGTATGTTGCAACAACATTTTGTAATTTTAATAATACTTTAAGATGACATACATATTCTTGGTCTCTAATTGAAAGGTGACTTACTTTACCATAACTGGAGTTCTTTGACATATGTGGTCCACATAGATACTACATTCTGGGTGTGCATACACTCCAGGGTCCCAAGATCAAAAGATTTGTCATGAATGTGTCCACTGATCTGCACCTGCATCCTGTGTCTTCTTTTGTTCTTAACTCAAAGCATAAAGGATGGTTTGGACAGACCTCTTTCAGTTCCTTTTCTACCACAAGTCACTTAGAAAATAATTCAAAGCAACAGGATAGGATGGGCAAAAAATACCCTTAGAGACCATATACTTTGTTAAACTTTAGTCAGATAAATAGTTTTCCTTTCTTTTTTGAATGGTGTTCCCTATGGGTATTTTCCACCATGGGTAATTCCTAAACCAGTGATGTTCCTAAACTTTTTAAGACTGAGGAACATCAAAAAAATTTTTTTGAGGAACACAAAGGATTTTTTTTGGTGGTGGTGGGGTTACTGAGCGCAAAAAAAAAAAAAAGTTGCCTGTCCCTTTTAGGGCAGCCATTTTGAACTTTGTTGTTTTCCACAGCACACCACTGTGCCATGGAACACAGTTTAAGAAGCACTGTCCTAAACAATATTCATCGACAAAAAGGATGGAATGGACCATGCAGGACTGCTGAACTGAAGGATGCATCTGCCAAAGAAACATGTACCGTAGTGTAATGTCTAGTAAAGGTACGCAAAGAGTCTCACATATCCATCTACCAATCTCCAGGATGGCATCCTAAACAAAAGCCATGAGGCTGCCTGAGGTTGTAGGGGAGAAACTCTGGTGCTTACTAACATGGGTATGCAATCTTTGAATATAAGAACAACCACCTGGACTCCATCTTGGCTGGCCTTCTCTTTCCTCCCTTGAGAGTATTTTCTTGCTCTTTTGACAGGAAACTAGATGGACACATGATCTGGGTTCTTCCTGGCAACAACACATTATTAAGAGCTGCCTCAACCAGTTCTGAGTGGCAAAATCTGGAGCTGCTTAGAGGTGTACACCAGCACCATATGTGTAGATCTGGTTGGGAGGGTGAGCTTACCTGCACACAAGGGGTCTGTTACCAGCTGCCATGCCTTCTGAGGACAAACACACACCCATAACAAGTCAGGGAGAGAGAGTGGGCCAACCATCACTGGACAGCTAACATCACTTGATCACTCCTTACCTATGATACCACCTGCAGATGGAATCCAGAGCTGTCTCATCACCGTGAGGGTCTTCAATCTGCAGGACATGGGAGAGACTCCCTAATCCTCCATTTCCTTACCTAGTCCCATCCCAGGGTGAGTTCTCATATTTTGAGGGGTAGGAGTCTCCATCAGCTCATAGCAAAGCATTCATGACATTTATGGTCCTCAATATCCATTTAGAACAGAGGTCGGCAAAAGCCTCTCAGTGTGCCGGATCCAGCCTGCCTAGGGCTTTGATCCAATCAGCAAGGAAGTTCCAGGACCCGGCCCCTAGTGCGGGGGTCGGCAACCTACAGCAAGCGAGGCACACGTGCCGATTTTCAGCAAGCACGGGGGAGGGAGCTCAACCCAATCCCACCTCCCCTGCGCAGCCACTGGAGAGCGCTCCATCCTCTCTGCAGCATGTTAGGCTGCGGTGGGAGGAGGCAGCACTGGGGTTGAGACTCCTCAGCTGTTCCTTGGCAGGGATGGGAGGCAGTGTGGCCACGTGGTCAGGGGCTGGCCACGTGGTCAGGGGCTGGCCACGTGGTCAGGGGCTGGCCACGTGGTCAGGGGCTGGCCACGTGGTCAGGGGCTGGCCACGTGGTCAGGGGCTGGCCACGTGGTCAGGGGCTGGCCACGTGGTCAGGGGCTGGCCACGTGGTCAGGGGCTGGCCACGTGGTCAGGGGCTGGCCACGTGGTCAGGGGCTGGCCACGTGGTCAGGGGCTGGCCACGTGGTCAGGGGCTGGCCACGTGGTCAGGGGCTGGCCACGTGGTCAGGGGCTGGCCACGTGGTCAGGGGCTGGCCACGTGGTCAGGGGCTGGCCACGTGGTCAGGGGCTGGCCACGTGGTCAGGGGCTGGCCACGTGGTCAGGGGCTGCACAAAGCAAGGTAAGGTCTCCTCTCATGCCCAGACCTCTGCACCCCAAACCTCTCACTTCCCTCCCTCCGACCCCAGCAAGACTCGGCAAGCCAGCTTGCTTCGACAACCTTCCTTGTTCCTGCACCCTGTCTGCTAGCCAGAACCCTACCCTGCTCCTGCACCCTCTCTCCTGGCCACACACTGCACCCTCCCTTGTTCCTGCTCCCTCCACCTGGACAGACACCCTACTTCCCTCCCAGATCCTGCACTCCATATCCCTAACCTACTTGCTGGTAGACCTCTCTCATGCACTGTGCCCCTCATTTTTGTCCCAGAGCTGTAAAATCCACTAACTCTGGAACCTCAGAAAAGTAAATCTGGTGTATGGGAAGCCCTGAACTTCAATATCCCACTTCTCTTCCCCTCAGCCTGTGAGGCTGGGTACCAGGAGTGAGGTGTCTCAGTTGCGGCCACATCAGTGAGCATTGGGGTTTTTTTTTAAGAGTTTTTTTGCTTCTCACTTGTGTGGTCCCCAACTGATTTTCCTATGGGTCAGTGACCCCGGACCCAAAAAGGGCTTTCCACCACTGCCATTAATATAGAAAATATTGAAACCTTTTGTGTTGGACATAATATTTTAATTTATTTAAAATTAAGTTTGATAAACTAACATGATAAAGTTAAAATGCTTAATCTATTTCATAATTTAAATTAAACCATTCTTACTAGCTGCAGGTGGTTCAGGAAATAAGCCTGCCCTGGCCTCTCCTCCCCCAGCACACAGATCCATGAATAAGTTAAATCTCTGTACGCCACTGCTGAAAAGTTGCTGACCCCTGCACTAAAAAGTAAGAGCTGCATCTTAATTTATAAAGCTTATGTAAGTAGGACTATTACTGACATTAAAAAGTATCACCAGCACTCGAATTCGTACATAGGAGGTGAATAAGTCAAATCTTGGCACTCTACCTCTGAAAGGTTGCTGACCCCTGCCCTAGCATGTTGCCTGTAAGTTGAATACAGGCAGGTGTATGGCCTGATTCATGTGGAATTCAGAGAGAACCTTTGGAAAGAACTTAGGGTGTAACCTGTAAGAAGGATCCACTTAGGGACCTTGAGCTTACCTACTCTTCTAGTGGGGGCAACTGCTGTCACGCATGACATCTTCAGACAGAAGGTACCAGGGTTCAAAAGGAGGATTCATGAGCATTGACAACACAAGACTAAGGTCCCACAGTTGGAGTTGGTTTCAGTACAGAAAGAAAGATTCTGGAACAGCTTTTCAAAAACAGCCATTGGATAGATGAAAAAACCAGCAGTTATATACCAGAGGAAAATGGACGGCAGTGAGTTGAGAAGCAGACCTGTCTTCTTTAGGGAAATCTCTGAATATTCAGGAGGTATCTCATGATATTGCCAGTAGTTGTAAAATCTCTTTCGTTTAAACACATTTTCTCACGAAGAATTTCCTGCTAATAAGAATGGATTACACCTCTTCTGAATCAAAATACAGGACTATGTAGCACTTTAAAGACTAACGAGATGGTTTATTAGATGATGAGCTATCGTGGGCCAGATCTACTTCCTCAGATCAAATAGTGGAAGAAAATAGTCACAACCTTATATACCAAAGGATACAATTAAAAAAAATGAACACATATGAAAAGGACAAATCAAATTTCAGAACAGAAGAGGGATGGAAGGGGGGGGGGGGGTAAATGTCTGTGAGCTAATGGTATTAGAGGTGATAACTGGGGAAGCTATCTTTGTAATGAGTAAGATAGCTAGAGTCTTTGTTGAGCCCCCCATGTAGAGTGTCAAATTTTAGCATGAATGACACTTCAGAGGATTCCCTTTCAAGTGCAGATTTAAAAGGCTCCTGAAGCAGGAAGACATTCACCTCTTCTGAATGTCATCTTTCTAAGCTTTTTACCCATTCAAATGGCTATTAGATGAAGGGATAGTGGGTTGGAAAGTTTAATCTTGCTTTTCCTAAGTCAGCAGGTTTAAAAAATGGCTGGGTTCATATGCATAGACATGCTGCAATCTGAAAGATACTTGTGAACCAAAACATATTCAGCCCCAAGGATTACCATCATTTTCACCTACCTAATTTTCCTTAAGACTCAAGATAGGAAACACAAGTGGGAAATATACACCAATATCTCTGGCCACTAAACTAGGAACACTTCTGCTTTGGAATCATGATCCCAAGCTGTTTGGAAATAGTAGGCTGGGCATTTCTTGTTGTCTTGGGATGCAAAGAAGCCTTTTCCACAATGGAAATCCTCACTGCTGTAAGAAGTTCTATACCAGGGTTTCTCAATCAGTGGTACGAGTACCCTTAGGGGTACCTGAGAGAACTCTGGGGGTACATCAACACAACTGAAATTTGGAAAAAACTGAATTTTTGTTTTACGTTTTACAGCGCTTTATTATTTTTGTACTTTTTACACCCAAAAATGTTATTGCCCATCCAGCTATGATTAAGTTGTTTAAACAAATGTGTTGCAATGGTACAAATGGGGGTACTTTTTTAAAGGAGTACTTTTTTTTTTCTTTTTTAAATAAAGGTTGAGAAACACTGCTCTATACTACCAATACATGCAGTTCCCACTCAGTGCCCCTTGGAAGCACTTGCTGAAGCTATCTGCAGATGTGTTATTCCTGAGAGATGCATTATAAACGTGATCTGTTCCTGGATGCATCATCTCCAGAGCTTGATGGCCTCTGTGCAAAGGAGGTTGGACCTCAATCCTTCATGTTTATAAAGTAAATAGCAATCATTTTTCAACATAAGCTGAACATGCAGGGCATGGACGAAAGGCAGGAACTTTTTGCAGATCTCATGCTCTGTTCACAGTTCAAGGAGACTGATGTGTAGTTTGGATTTTGGTTAGGGCCACAAACTTTGAAGCCACATACTCATCCAGATACAAGCATCTCTTACTGGGCTGGGGTGTGTAAGAAACATTTACTTACTATAACTCTAGTTCTTCAGGATAGGATACAGATGTGTAGTCCACAACCCACTCCCTTGTCTCCTTTGCAGCAAAGTCTTGTGTCCTGGCATTCAGTGCAAAGGAACTGATTGATGGTTGGGGCAGCACCACCACATGTAGTCAAGGGAGGGACTACAGGCACAATACACAATCGCTGCCCCTTTCTCCAGGTTTTGCTAGGCAAATTTCTCTTGCTCCAGTATACTAGGTGCACACACACTTCAGGTCTTGCTAAACATGGACCTCTTTTATCAAATCCTGCATCTGCTGTGAAAGATGTAGTCATGGTGTAATGGTTTGTGAATGCATGTATTGACTACAACATAGCAGTTCTGCAAATGTCCAAAAAGGAAACAGCACTGAGAAATGTAATGGAATAAGCTTGCACCTGTGAACAGACATAGCCAGAGCTATTTCATATTTCCACTTGGAGACTGTTTGCAAAGAGACCGTTTGCCTGTGAAGAAACTGTTTGACCTTTCATGGATGTCTGCACATGACAAACAAACTGGAGAAGGAGTTATCCTGTGCCTACCCTTAGGCCCTGGTTTGGCACAAGGCACAGGCACAGACCAACAAATGCTGCTAGCAAAAAATCTTCCAGTTTTAGACACATGGAGAGTATGTGCACCCACAGTGGAATATTCACAGGAACCACCACCCAAGAATTAAAATATCCCCAGCACTTTTTTGAAAAGATCAGAAGAGAATATAAGGATCCATGCCAAAACCCAAAAGTAAAGCAGATTTTAAAGTTTATGGCTGTGAACAGTTATTATTCCATTTAAAATCTTTGTCATGTTTACTAGGATGCTCCATAACCAACATGTAACTCAATTTGCTTTATAAAGCACAAAAACAAGATTTATTTCCAATTAATACATTCAGATTATTTTTACATTTTTGAAAAGTATTCTGCATGCAGAGCTATTTTAAACTTTTCTTACCTCATTTTTGATGAAATCAGCATTCATTCCAGTTTCTTTATCTTCAGTGGAAGGCAACATAACTGATTCTTCCGGAATAATTTGTGACCAATGCCCAGCCAGTGAAGAATGTTCAGCAGAGGATATGTCTTTGCACTCTGTGCTTTCCCACAGAAAGACACATGCAGTAGGCGTAGTGAGTAACACCTTATTCCCATCTCCTGAGACATACAGGTACAATCTCATGGAGCACTCTGGAAAAATAACATGTCAGAAAAGTGAGTGGTTTTCAGTGTCCACAGATGTGAGAGAAGAGATTTTCCTAATAAAAGTTAAGAGTACTAGCTGACATGAAACCACTTTAAAAAAAAATTTATAAGGAATTTAGTGACCTATGTGAGACAAGAAAAAACAGTAGTACAATTCACACAATCTTTGTTGCTGGAGTAAGTCTCCAAATAGGCAAGGGAGGTATTATACATTACACCTCCATGCAAAGTGCATAGACACCTTAAGTTTCACAGTAGTATCAACCCATACAGTGATATCTTGCGTAAAGGTGGGACAAAAGAAAACCTGTTTTAAGATTTCTTTCAGATTGCTTTATCATGATTGGGTTACACTTGACAGTCTTCATCTTGATTAGAGTAATCTCCTGTTCATCCTGCTTCCTACATTTTCTCTTCCAAAGACAATGCAACACACAGATTTTCAGACTGTCTACTTTGTCACAAGTAACCATGTGAACCCCTCCAACTAGCTCTCCTCTTCACCACCATTACAAAATCAAACGTCTATGAACTTAGTTCTAAAGACTCTAGTCCAGTAGTTCCCAACTTTTTTTTAATACCGCCAACCAGCAAACTCGTTCAAAAACTTTGTGGACCAGCACTAAAACATCTTCATATTAATTATGGTAATTTCTTTGTAGATTCATTACGATAATTACTGTTACGCGGTCACATGTTATTTTACATTGCATCCGTATGCACACAATGCATGTCATTGTGTGGATGGCAAGATCAAAATCATACATTGTGAAACAGGTGGCATGCTTTGCAAAATAGTTCTGGTTTTCACTGGAGAGAGGCAAAGAGGTACAGCAGGCAGGGCAGAAGAAGGAAGGCTGTGGCCAAGAAGAAGAAGAAGAGGGAGAACGAAAAGGGGGACCAAGCCAGGGAGAGGCTGGGCTCAAAGTGGGGGGCACTGACTCCAGCTCGGAGGGCTTCTCCTGCCTTGTCTGCTTCCCCACCCCAGCCACCTGAGTAGCGACAGCCCCTGTTCAACCTTGACTGCCCTACCAGGGGGTCCCTGAGCCAGCCCCCAGGGCTCTGGCCAGCTGGGTGACCCCTGCTCCACCACGCAGCCCAGTCATCCCTAGAGCAGCCCCACTCAGCTATGCTGCCTGGTCAGCCCTGGAGCAGCCCCGGCCCACCACGCAGCTCAACCAACCCAAAGCAGCCTTACTTTGCCATGCAGGCTTGTAACCCCGAGAGCACCTCTGCCTGCTGGAGCAGCCACCTGCCACATGGCCTCGCTGGCTGGGCCATGTGACTGCTATGGAGCAGAAACTCAGGCCGTGGTGAGGTTGCTCCAGTACAGACAGCTTCACCGCAGCCCTGCTCCAGCCGCAGCACCACCATCCAGGCCACATGGCTGCCATGGAGCAGCAACTAGGGCCATGGTTGGGCTCCCTACTGGGGCAGCATGAGAGGAGAATTTTTAGTGTGCGCACAGGCATGCATCTTGGTAACCGTGTTCCACAGCAGACAGGGCTCATTAGCAGCCAGGGGTATGGCCTGGAAGAATGCACAACCTGGCAGGCAGGGGTTCGCAGCCCGCCACCAGTCCACGGACTGGTGGTTGGGAACTGCTGTTCTCATCTAAAGTCTAGATGGCACGTTTATCTGCTTCCTCGGTAATTGCCTGTGCATTAACCTTCACGCTATATGAATATAAGTACAGGCAGTCCCCGACTTACGCGGATCCGACTTACATCGGATCCGCACTTACTAAAGGGGCTCTCTTGCCCCGGAGCTCACAGGCAGCGGTCAGCCACCTTGACCTCCGGGGCGAGAAAAGCTGCTCCCGGTGCCCCTGGTCTGCTGGGGACCGTCTCCAGCAGACCAGGGGCATCGGGAGCAAAGCAGCAGCCCCGGCGGGTTTGCTCACGGTGCCCCTGGTCTGCTGGAGACAGTCCCCAGCAGACCAGGGGCACCCGGAGCAGCTTTTCTCGCCCCGGAGGTCAAGGTGGCGGGACCGCTGCGCTCTGG